CCCCAAGTGTCTCTGCTGTGCCTAGCTCGGGCTGTTCTTGTGCAGACAGACCTGCAAAATCACTCTCTCAGAGGGTTGGTGTTGGAGGGCCGGGAATCCTCTGGAAGTCGAGCAAACTTTGGTGTGTGGGTGCCCATGCGGGTGTCTTTAGAATGCTTTGTCCTATATTTGCGTGTGTGTGTATACTTTCTGAGAACTGTTTGTCACATTCTACTTTCTGAGAAACGCTGGGCTTGTCGAAATGCTCTCATTTTATCACTGGGGAAACTGGTCCTCAAAGAGGACACATCTCAACCTAGTGCCACAGCTGGGTGATAGCAAGACCGGGATTAAAGCGGGGAAGGTTTGTGAGGATAAGACTCGTCACTGTTGGTAGGTGGCCCAGGGCATTGACAGTCCTCACGGGGTGGGCTGCCCGCCTCCTCTCTTAACCACAGCAGCAAGGGCCACATGAAGTCACCCTCCTTCCCAAAGACAGGTACATACCGTGGGAAGGGACAGATGTTTCCGGCCGATGTTCTGTGAAGTGCCGTGCTCTCTACCCGAGCCCAGTGGCTCAGAAGCCCTCCACGTGGCTCCCTGTGAGACTCTCTGGGAACCATCACTGCTTCCCCGGCCCCCCAAGTGTCAGACCATCTGCCGCAGGGTTCTCTTCCCTGCCTGTCCTGTCCTCTGGGCCTCGGCCAGTCTGCAGGTGCTCAGGGGGCATGGCTGCAACAGTGCTGGCTCTTCTGCTCGCCGGGCAGGGTGAGGCCACCCAGGCAGGCTCACCCAGGACGCAGCCTCCCGCTGTCTCCCCCCTCTGCTTTCAGGTCTCCATTTGTCCACGTCTGAGAAAATCTTCCGTTTCCAGGACACAGGGCTGCTCCTGCGGGTACTAGGGAGCCTCTTCCTTGGCGGGATTCTCGCCTTCGGTTTGGGCTTCTCCGAGTTCCTCCTGGTCTCCAGAACCTCCAGCCTCACTCTCTCCATTGCTGGCATTTTTAAGGTACAGACTTGGGGGTGGCTCTGGTCCTGTCTTAGAGTGCAGCCCCCAAGCTCAGTCGCAGCTTCGGTCCCAGCTCCCGTGCCCCAGGGCCCTGCAGAGGAGACGGAAGTGCCTTGTTAGGGTGCCGTGTGCCATGCTCCTGTCTGTAACTCCCATCGTGGCCGCAGCTCTGGGGGTAAGGGCGGTCATCCCCATTCCACAGATGGGCTGATCTACCCACAGATACCCAGCCAGTGTGTGGCCGAGTTGGGATTCGGACCACCAGGCCTGGGACACATTCTCATTTTACCGTGAATGCCGACTCTGGCTGCCTGGCCGTGGCCTGCAGTTGGGTTGAGAAGCCCCATCCAGACTCATGGGGAGAGAGTTCGGTGATGGATTGGTGATGCCTGCCGTGGTCAGAGTAAGGGGCAGTGCTAGGCATGAGTGCCCTGTGTTTGCCTGTCTTGCCTTTACTGCTGCCTGGCCACACGCATGCCTCTGCTCTCAGCTTCCCCCTCCCCTGCCACCTCTCACCCCACCCTGCTCAGGGCCGTGGGGCGGTACAGTTTCACCTTGACTAAGCAGACACAGGTGCTGGACTAGTGTTGCCCAAACCCAGAACCGTAAGTCTCCCCAAGGGGCTTAGACGAGGCGTGAGCTGTGGTTCTCAGAATGAGCCGTCCCACCAGCCCCATTTGCAGCCACTATGTATGACAGCCACCACGTGAAGAGCCCTGTGGCCAACGTGTGTCCCGCAGAGCCCTGTGACACTGCATTCTCCTGTGGCGTTGTCGGGCTGTCCATCCGCAGGTGTGGCCGCCCTTTATTCCTGCGGACAGGGCTGTGGGCCAGGCGCTCTGCTCCCAGCCCCGAGTTTGGTTTGCCCCCCTCGTAGCCCTGACGCGACAACTATGCAAACATCTGCTTTGTCGCATCTTAGCGGCGCGAGGGGAGGAAAGCCCTGCAGGCAGGCCTGATCTTCTGGGCGCAGGGAAGCCCCTTTTTTGCCCAGCTGGCCAGCCCGTCCAGGCCCCGGGAGTTCGGGCAGGTCAGGCTCTCCCCTGTGGTGGTGGCCTTGCCGTCCACCTTCCTGGCAAAGGGGCCACCTCCTCCTCCTGATCACTTGCCCTTCCCGCCTGTCTGCCCTCAGGAGGTCTGCACTCTGCTGCTGGCAGCTCACCTGCTGGGGGACCAGATCAGCCTCCTGAACTGGCTGGGCTTCGCCCTCTGCCTCTCGGGCATATCCCTGCACGTTGCTCTCAAAGCCCTGCACTCCAGAGGTAAACCGGAGCCCCTTCCCGAGGCCTCTTTTCTGAAGGTGTTCTCCTCGTGACTCAGTCCCTCTGCTCTCCCCTCGACCCGGCCCTGGGTCCCCAAGCCACCTAGCCAGGAAGAGGCAGGTGGCCCTCGGCGTGCCCACAGGCGGTTCCAGCCCGGTGGCGGTCCGAGCCGCCTCTGCGTCGGCCGCCCCTCCGCCAGGGAGTAAGCCCGTCACTCCGAGAAGACGGGCGGTGTCCTGGGAGCGGGCGGGGAGTGGGTGGGGGCCTAGGCGACTCAACACCCCCATCGGGGCATGCCAAGGAAAGCACCAGTGGTCTGCAGCTGGCTTCTCTCTGTCTCCAGGTGATGGGGGCCCTAAGCCCTCGAAGGGGCTGGGCTCCCACCCCGACCTGGAGCTGCTGCTCCGGAGCGGGCAGCCAGAGGAGGACGACAATGAGGAAGAAGAGGCGTACTTCGTGGCCCAGGGGCAGCAGTGACCAGCCGGGAGACCAGCTTGGAGGCAGGCCTCTCCCCGCCCTCACACCTCACAGCAGCTCGGGGACCCAGGGGGCCCTTCGCGGCAGCTGGGGAGCAGCGGGCCAGGCCTCTCCCAGGCCGGGCCTTGGGGAGCGCGCAATCGCCTGGCGGGGCTCGCTCGGGGAGCTGAGGAGACTGCGGGGTGCGCGTCGGGCCAGAGCAGGGCCGAGGCCGTGCTGGAGGCCCAGCGGGACAAGGGAATGGGCGGTCCTCGGCCGCTTGCCAGGCTCTGGCGGCCAAGGTGGTGCTTTCCGGGGCACAGCGGGTTTCTTGGGGCACTGGGTTTAGACTGCGGAGCACTTGGGAAGGGGAGAAGGAGAGGCTGGAGCCTCATCACCTGGACAGTGTCTTTTCTCAGAGAGCAGATCTATTTATAGTTTGGAAATAAAGGATTTACGGTCCGCTGGCCACTTCGTGTTGCCTGGAGGCATAGGGGCAGGAGGGGGTGGCGGGGGCCTCACTCTCGTTCCTGGCTGGGGCTTCTGCAGATGACTGGGCAGACTCCAGGCTTCCCTGCATCTCTTGGGTTCCTCTGGGCCCCTGGGCCCTCTCTTGGGGCCCCAGCACACCTGCAGGCAGGAAAAAAATGTATAGAGTGGTGTTCTGGGGCATGTAGTGCTTTCATAGCCTGGATTTGAATCCTGACTGTCGCTAGCTCTGTGACCTTAAGCAAATTACTTAAACTCTCTGTACCACAGTGTTTTAACCCGTGCAATGGGAAGAATTATTTCAGAGTTATTCAGAAGATTGAGTCCGAATTGGTAACAGATGTTACGTGTTTGTTTTGAGAATGCTTTCAACAGCCGTGGAACCGAGACCCCAAATGAGTGATGGAACAAGGATTCACCACCGGGTCTGTATGCCAAGTCTGTGCCCGCGGAACATAGATGGAGTGGCCTCCGAGCCTCCGGGACCTGAGCTTCCTGCTCCCCCTACCTTGGACCAGTCAGGCCAGGCCGCCCCTCTACGCTGCCGTCTTCATAAAATGGGGAGGACGGTGCGAGATCCTGGCTCTGATGTGCAAGGGTTCCGAAGCCTGGGCTGCTCCTGGGAGCCGGCTCCTCCCCCACCGCCCCAACCCCCCAGCCCCTCGTGGGGACAAGTACTTCCAGGCAGAAGTGTTTTCAGGCACTCACAGCAGGTGGCGCCATTGCACCACGCGGCGACTCGGCAC